CAAGCTGGGAGAGTTGGGTGTCGAAGTCTCAAGGAAGTTGGCTGTTGACTAGGTTCTTCAATCACTTCCCGATTCATATAGTGAGTTCATTAAGGACTACTATGTGACAGACCACGACATGACCCTTAATGATCTTACCTATTTTCTTGTTGCTGCTGAATCAACAATGATTTGGCGCACTGGTAAAAGCAAATTGATTGGAAGATCTACTCCATATACTTCCATGGACAGTGACAATGGTAACTGTGACATCCCCAAAATCACGGCCAGAATAGACCGGTTTCGTTTATGCTTTTAAATAAAATCAGAGTAAATCCATTGATTTAAAAGAGTTGCGGAAATTTGTCCCCAAAACAAAACATTATAAAATAAAGTTTATCAAAGCATTTCTTAAAGAAATGTATTTTCATTATATATCAAAACTCGGGATGTCATGTTTCGATACAGACCAAAAGCTTAAACAACACAAAATAGACCTTACAACAGTTACATATAACTACTGGTCTATAATCCAAAAATATCTTGACAATGTCATCCAACTTATGCTCTCGTGCCACTACCTGTAATACAAAGAAAAACTGAGTGGGTCAGGTGAGCATATAGGGTTTTAAACCCACAATAAATAATTATATTTAGTTCATCAACCAACAATAAACCCGATTACCCATTCCCGTTATCCTCACTTTATGTCCCTAAAACAACAAATATTACAAGGGACCTAATCTAGGATTTTCATTGGGACGGACATTACTGCAAATGGGTTTCCTTAACAATAGATGTCCTAAAGGCAACCATGAGGGGATAGAGTACACCGGTGAACACATCGTTCACAACACCTACAGGTTATGAGCCTGCTAGTGTTCCACTGGACTGTCTAGTAAGAGTCCGTGGTCGTCATCCATACTCCGCTAGATGACTAGATCAACAACAACATTGAGGCCTCTCATCATTTTATTTCATCACACATCAACTGTCTACCCATGTTCTACCCAACATATTAGTAGATAAAATATATGTATTTATATACAGCTTAAAACCTGTACAAAACATCCATTCAACAACTAGTTCAAATAAACAAATAATATATAAACACATAGCACGTTTTTTATAAAGAATATTTCATATCTATGTGTTAGAAGAAAACGAAAATACACTCACTTGATAACACGATGATCGGACAGCACCTCGTCTCTTAAAACAATTGTTTTCGATAAAACCGGGATGCTTTTCTTGAAAACCGGGCTTCTCGCAAGCAGAGTTTCGGCTCGGATACTTTTCGGGATCCTCGGGGCTTCGGGACTTGCTTCGGGTCTCGGGAATGATACCGGGGCTTCGGGGTATAAGTTGCACGCAAAACGAGGCAATAATGAGAGAGAGAGAAGAATTGAGCAACAAAACTCGGCAGCCCTTGAGTTCTATTTATAGGGGCTGAAACCCCGATTTACGCTGGGCGTACGAAGATCTACGCGGGGGTGTAGTTCGGATAAGCTTTGGTATGCTTGCCTCGAATTTCAAAAATTCATAACTTTCGCATACGAGCTCCGTTTTTGATGTTCTTTATATCCACGCGTAGGTGAGACTATGCTCTACAACTTTCATTTAGACTCCGTCTGCTAATTTTGAGTTTATTTTTATTGTATTATTTTAGTAGGCCGGGACAGGAAAACTCCGTTATAAAATCATAACTTCTTCATCCGACGTCCGTTTTCGTCTGTCTTTTTACCGTTGGACTACTAACGATGAGATCTTCGATTCTCGTTTAGATTGTTTCGGCTAAAAGCCACTCGATCTCATATTCGAGTTTCAGGCTGCATACCGCTAAGTCGAAACTTAGAAAAATCATAACTTCCTCGTACGAAGTCAGATTTAGACGTTCTTTTCATGCACGCTCTCGGTTTAATGTATTCTACGACTTTTGTTTAGATCACTAAGGCTAAATATCGCTCTATCTTAAATTCGTATTTTACGTAATACAGTGTCGTGCCGGTTCTGTCGCGAAACTTCGACATGTCATAACTTCTTCGTTATAACTCGGATTTCGACATTCTTTATATATTCGGAAACCTTGACACGACCAGTACAACTTCATGTATCGATATCGGTTTTATCTAACATTTTATTTTTAACGCTTAAATTATCCTTAATTCAATTAAGTCACACAATTAAGCAATAAACATATTATACTCAAATAATACATTCTTATTATTTCAAAATGAGTTACAAAGGTTAACATAGACTATTACATCAACATTAATGCGTAGCCCAGAAACACGGGCGTTACAATTCTCTCCACCTTAGAATGATTCTGTCCCCGGAATCACACATCAACAAACAAATGCGGATAACGACTCATCATGTCACTCTCTGTTTCCCAGGTGAGATTTGGCCCATTCTTATGTTTCCAACGGACAAGCACTAATTCGACCATCTTGCGTCATAATTTCTTAGTTTTTTGGTCAACGATTGCCTCCGGTTCTCCAATTAACCTTTTGTTCTCATCAATTCTTAACTCATAAATTGGAATTATATCGGGAACTTCTACCGTGAACTTCCTCAAATAACACACATGGAAAGTGTTATGAATTCCATTCAGTTCTTCGGGTAGTTCGAGCTTGTAAGCTTGGTTCCCAATCCTCTGAAGAACTTTAAACGGTCCAATAAACCTTGGACTTAACTTTCCCCTTTTATCAAACCTTATAAGTCCCTTCCACGGCGAGACTTTAAGCAAAACTGAATCTCCAACTTCAAAAGTCATCGGTTGTCTTTTCTTGTCGGCATAGCTCTTTTGACGATCCTGAGCTGCTAACATTCTCTCTTTAATTATTTTCAACTTTTCAGCAGTTTGATGGACTATCTCCGGTCCCATAAACTGCTTTTCCCCAGCCTCAAGCCAACAAGACGGTGTACGACACTTCTGTCCGTACAAAGCTTGATAAGGTGTCATCCTTATGCTCGAGTGGAAACTATTATTGTAGGAAAATTCTACCAAAGGTAAGTGTTCGTCCCAGTTACCTTGGAATTCCAGGGTACATGCTCTCAGCATATCTTCAAGTGTTTGTATCGTTCGTTCGCTCTGACCATCAGTCTGTGGATGGTAAGCTGTACTTAAACACAACTTGGTACCCAATTCCTCTTGTAGACTTTTCCAAAATCTTGAGGTGAAACGACTGTCACGATCCGACACAATCGTTAACGGAACACCGTGAAGCCTCACAATTTCCTTCACGTAAGAATTCACAAGCTTATCCATAGACCATTTCTCATTGGTTGCTATGAAGTGCACACTCTTAGTGAAGCGATCGACGACCACCCAAATCATGTCGTGACCATTCTTTGTTCTGGGCAGTTTAGTGACAAAATCCATAGTGATGTCTTCCCACTTACCCATAGGCACAGGTAAAGGTTCTAAACTCCCGTATGGTTTCTGATATTGTGCCTTAACTCTCGCACAAGTCACACATTCGGCCACATACTTTGCAACATCGAGCTTCATCGTCGGTCACCAGTAATAGGGTTTTAGGTCCCTATACATTTTAGTGTTGCCAGGATGAATTGGGGCGTACCTGGTGGTACACTGCGTGTACGAGGTCAGCGCCCCGCTTTCGGTCAACACCAGAGTACGCTGGGCGTACTCTCTTGGTACGCAGGGCATACTCCGCTGGGAAGAAATATTGACTTTTGGACCTTGACTGTTGACTTTAACTTTGACCAGGTTGACCAAGTTTGATCTGAGGGTATTTTGGGTTATCCGGTTAATTGTTGATTAAGATTGTATTTATTGTTAGTTGGCGCGAGGTTATACGGTTCGGCGGTCCGAGCAGTTATTTGATTATCAACAGATTGATGTGAGTCTTCCTCACTGTACATACGGGTCGAAGGCATCAAGGCCGGCCCACTGGATTAGATATCCTGATATGTGATAATATGATGCTATGCTTAGTGATTTGTAGATCTACCTAATTGTCTGCTGACTGATTATATGTTTATCTGTATATGTGTACATATTTGGTTGGTGGTTAAGGCTTTACGGCTTTGTGCGTGAGCCAACAGACCGAACGTATTCCATCCCGAGGATGATTGGACTCGACATTGGCATTCCAACCCAGGGTATTCATCCTGAGGATGACTGGATCCTATGGTTGATTGGGCCTCGGGTATTCCAACCCGATGGTTGACTGGACCCGATATATTGGCATTCCAATCTAGGGTATTCCATCTCGAGGATGATTGAACCCTGTGATTGACTGGGCCTGGGGTATTCTAACACGATGGTTGATTGAACCTGACATGCTTGTTATGGTATATGGTGAGACTGGACTACTCTGTGCGCTAGTCAACATGCTGGGGGTATTCCAACCTGATGGTTGATTGGACCCGACATGTTTGGTATTCCAACCTGATGGTTAATTGGAGCAAACATGCTTATGATACGAGGGTATTATATCCCGAGGATGACTGGGCCCATCGTAGACATGCCTGGTATTCCAGCCCGAGGCTGATTAGGCCAAGCATGAGTATTTGTGCATGTGATTTGTTTGTTATGTGTATGTGGTGGTACTTTGGGGAAACTCACTAAGCTTTGTGCTTACAGATTCATTTTATTGTTTCAGGTGCTTCAGATGGTTGTGGCAAGGCGAAGGCGTGACCGTACACATCCTTGGTTTTACAACTGATTGAATCTTGAGAGACTCTGATTTTAAATCATGTTTTGGAAACAATGGTTTGTAAACACTTTTATTAGTAAATGGGTTGTTTTGAAAGGTTTAAATTTATTGAAATTTTTGGGATGTTAAAGATATATACAACTAACTTGCCGTATATACAAACTAAATGAAATAATCACTAAGTACGTAAAAAATCAATAGTTAATGTTTCCAATATTGAAAATACAGAAAAAAAATTAACACTAACTTTGATATCTTTTCCATCAACCACTGATTACCGCGGTGAATAATATCTTTAACATGATGGTCAAACAATACATAAGATGAGACCAAGTTTCATCTTGAACACGAATTATGACCCTCACCCTAAAAATTATAAAATAACAATTTAAAAAAACACTAAAATAAACATGGAAACAATCTAATAAATATTAATGTCACAATAAGTTTACAGATGTAAAATTATGAACTTACTTGTCGTAAACATCAGAAACTCCGCCGCAACCATCTCAAGTAAATGGTTCAGCATTACTATCATTATCATTCTTACTTTTTTTTGAACAATCAAGACAATAAAATGTATACCAGCCTTCGTCTAAATCAAAACCGATGACAGTAGCAATGCTGGACAAACCTTTTTCGTGGTTCAAAAATTGTAAAAAGAATATATAAAAAATAATATCTTATATATATTCGTTGGTTTATGCGGATTAAATTTTAAAAATTAATGGAAAAATATCAATACTGTTAAGTATACCTCATTGTAATCTGGAATATCATCAATGTTCTTGATTGGAAAACGGAGGTAGTAATCTTCTGCATTGGCCACAACAATATCGATATTAAGTTGTGAATTATTAATGGATGACTCAACATTCAAATCCATATCAGAAATACTACATATAAGAAGAAAAAAAAGAAATTAAACAATATAAATAATTAATGATTAAGAATAATGAAATACAAAACATTAAGCTATTATTTATTTATAGAAGACATACACTTTTTTGAATTCTGAAATGTGAGGCATATCATCATTGATATGCAATCTCGACCCAAACAAACAGTTACCGACTTGAGGCTGGTTTGGAAATAAAATTATTAATGATTAATTTATCTTATTTAAAAAATATTAATGTAATGACATGGACATCTAAAATAAAAAATATTCTTACCACCCAATTCTTGAGCTTTGCCATACGTAGGAGGATGATAACGGGGGCATTATCATTTTGATGTTCCGATATGTAGCTGTTCAACTTCAATGCAAAACCATCCCACAAAGCAACTTGAATTTTCCTACCACTATAAATGAATGGTTGGGTTATTTGGAAATAAATATTAAACATGGTAAATAAATAATAAAGGAGAGGTGAAAAGTACCTTAGATGTTGAGCAACCATATTCATTAACCTTTTTTCACTTCCTTTGTCAATGATCACTTTAATAGTATCAATAGAAACAACTTTACCAATAAAATCTACAAATGGTAATATGTAAGGAAATATATTATTATTATATTAAAAATTTGTTCTAAAAGTAATATATATATATATATATATATATATATATATATATATATATATATATATATATATATACATGCGAAGATGTTAATAGAAAAAACTTACCAAATGCAACACGAGTGTCAAAATTTCTGGCAGTCAAATCATGGAAAGTCACAAAATTAAAAGGATCGACCCTATTAACAAAAGGAGCTGACACATGAACTATCGTTGTTTTGTAGAAATTTATCTTATCCCTGTGACCAACCAACATGTAATCTCCTTCGTTTATAGCCATATTAAATTTAGTGATTTCCCTTACAGCTCATTCAACGAACAAGGTTTGAAATACATTGACGGGATTTTTTTGATTGTTGCCTGCATTTTAGTGCCCTGTAGGTCATAACCAGTGTTGTTTTATTGAAAATAATAAATTAAAATATTAGTTTATTTTAATTTAGTAAAATTCTTACCTGTTGGTCCATTAAAATCATGTCCAGGATGCTCACCATGTTTAGGTTGTTTTTGGAAGTCTGTTTCCAAAGCTTGACCTGAACACGAATATTCCATGTTTCCTTCGATGCATCAATGTCAGCAAGACTATCAAAGACGATTTCATCGCCACTATTATGTGCCATTCCGCCTTCTACAAAAACATAATATAATTGTATTTATGATTCAGAAGTACACTGCGATAAGGGCATAATGGTCAAATCAATTTGAAGAACAATTGAAAGTAGGATGCTATTTTGTCAAATGTCATCAGGGTTTAAAATGGTCCCTTTAAACTATTATATAACAATTAAAAAATGATCCATGTAAACTGAATTGTTTAAAAATGGTAATTTATCAAATCAAATGATTAACAAAAAAACACAATAAAAAACATAATAACATTATTATTTAATTTATCAAATCAAACGATTAACAAAAAAAACACAATAAAAAACATAATAACATTATTATTTAAAGAAATGGTCACTGGAATTTTTAAGAAATAGCCCTTAGTTCTGTTAATAGAATTGTAATCATAATCATTACACAAATGATCCCTGTAAAATAGAAAATAGAAATGCACAATTCAAAACATTACATATTAAAGTCAAAGTATATTGCTATTAACTAAATCTATTAAAAACAAAATAGAAACTACACTTCGCTTTCTATCCAATGAACATAGTTATAAAAAATCAAAAAAAATTTGAAACATATAAAAGCATAATGGTCAAATCAATTTGAAGGACAACTGAAAGTAGGTTTTACAATTAATAGAAATTAAGAACATCATATTAAAGAAGAAACCTGGATGACAAATGTGATGCTGCAAAGGGTGATGTTGTTCGAACGTGATGCTGAAAATGGTCTGAATAAAACATAATAGACGAACAACAGCACATGATATATACAAGACTTTCAACAATGATTATGGAAATGATATCAAATTTCGAATTCTTTGATTCTTTAAAATTCAGCGAAGATATCCCGTAATCTTGTAGATACATTTCATATAATAGATATGAATTATTAAAAGAATATAAGAAATGTGAGTACTAAGAACATGCTTTTAATTAGGAAGGAACGTAATTTACTTTGAAAAATTATAATGACGTTTAAATGAGTTGAATACATTCTTTTTATAAATGACGTTAACATTAAATCAGTTAGTCAAGCTTACAAATTTAGTCAATATTAATTTAATTTAAATTAATTTCATTATATATTAACAGAAAAACGAAAAAAATGATGATTTGCAGAGTGTAATAAAAGGAAATGTGATAAAAAAATACAGTTTTACCCTTTTCTGGATTAAATTCATTTATAAAATCCATCCATTTAATATTGAATAAAAGATTAATAAAAAGTAGGATGCTAACATGTATATATATGAAAGTAGGATGCTAACATGGTCCATTTGAAAAATATAATTCAAGAAATGGTCCATATTTTTACAAACAATCAACTATTGAAAAAAAAACAATGTTTATACGATAATATAAAATCATACTTTTCGAAAGGCATAGAATAAACACACATTCATTTCACAGTAACTCCAATTCTATAAAATATAATTATATAAAGTGTTTTAGTAAATGAACATACTCAATTTGACCATTATACACTAAACCTATTATATATAGCACCGTGCATAGTAAAGTAAAAGAAATTAGGATGCTATTTAATGCATTTGAAACACTTAAATCATGTTATATTTGTCATGGGGTATTTCATAGTTGCAAAAATTAAACATAAATAAATAGGCTCAATAGAATACCTAATTCTAACCACTACTTCCATATCACATAACCACATCTTCAATTTGTTGCATGGTTCTTTTCAAATTGTCATCATATGCCATGGTGACAGTTGGAGTTGCTGTTGTGTGTTCAGAATCTTTCAGGCTGACTTCAGGGGTGGGTGTAACTCTTGCCTGAGGATCCTATGGGATGGTTGTGGTTGCCGTTGAGTAATCATCAGTGGTGGTGGTGGTAGCAGGCGGTGTTTCAGAAGTGTAGTTTCCTTGTATAGGATTTTTAAGCTCATCAATGCCGATTTCCTTTTGAAGGATGCTCTTGAATTCACAATGAAACTTCCTATTTTGAAGTGAAGCATGTGTTTCAACATTCAATCAGTATCATATTCTTATTCTTCAAGTTGAGATAAATGATCACTTTGAAACCACACATCCAAACAAGAATTAGATGTAGTTCCCAGATTGTGGGTTGAAATGAACGCAGAGTGTTTCCCAAAGTTTTAGCAACCTGCAATTTAGGTGTTAAAATGTCAAGATGGACACAAAAATAACATCCTAAAAGAGATAACAAAAAAACGAAGATTACAAAATTTTGTTTTTGGGATATACAGTCACCTCGGCAAGAACTTTATACCCAAAAACCAACAAAGCGATGTTTCTTTTTAACTTAAGCTTCAGGAGCTCCAACTCCAAATAAAGATGCGAAAGCCTAAAAAATTTCAAGTTCCAACAAAGTAATGCATCCTGGAAACAAAGTCGTAGAAGAAACTATGTACATTCGAATTGTATAATTGATAAGTTATATGTATTATGATACGTACAGAACCACGTTCAAGAAGCAGTTGTTGCTAAGATTTTGCTATCCGGGAACGACCCTCGATTTCTCAGGCGAAGATTCACTCTTAGACGACGACGATAGAAATTTGAAATTGTTGCCAAGATTTTGCAATCTGGGAACGACCCTCGATTTTTCAGGAAAATATATTTTGAAATCGAGATGAAATAATAAGCCAGTTGGATGCCGTTTTTAGTAGTAAAGAGGATGGCGTACACATGTTGTGAATTGTTTTTTTAGCATGACATCATCAGAACGATCGAGAATGATCTAAGAGTTGAAATTAATCAAGGAAACACAATGAATGAACCTAATTGTTGAATGTGATGTCATCAAGTTTCCCTTTTAATATATATAGAGATACGTAAGAATAAATTGCAACAATTAAATAACTCTTATATATATATATATATATATATATATATATATATATATATATATATATATATATATATATAATATTTGACTATAAACATAGGGGTCATTGAGGGGAGAAAAGTGGACAGCTACATATGACCCAATTATTATTATTATATATATTTGTTTAAAAATAAAAACTTATAATAACGATAAAGACCATTTTTATGTAGCCCGTCCTGGGCCTTTGACGATATTTAATTCCTAAGGACGGGCCCTAACTATAAACTAGATTTAAGTCACTTCGTGCGTTGCGATGAATAACTCATTTGCAATTAAAGAAAACAAACACTATAAAAAGAAATTATGCAAGGGACTAAAAATGTAACTTTAATGTGCAATGTTACTCATTGGGGATTTGTATAATGAATGTGATTTACAAATATCAACAGTCTATATATAGCACGGTGACGATTATAAAATATCAAGTGGATCACAAAAGTATCAAAATAAAGTTTTGATTCAAACAGCGTAAAAGTTTATAACGTTTAAATAAAAATTAATATTAATAAAAACGAAAACTATAAAAAATGAGTAAATTGCACAAATCGTCACTCATACAGATGTCAAATGCACGTTTAGTTTCCAGTTTAAAAAACTTGAACTGTCTCTCTATTTTTTTCACCTGGACCGTCCTTGATGGATATTAAATAACTATTTTTCCCTTAATAATTTCATTTCTTTTTCTTTTATGTATTTATTATTTTTAGATTAAAAAAGGAAAAAAAATAAATATCCCCACCAACCACATCCTGACCCAACCCACCCTCCCCTTCCGTTTTCGCAATTTCCTTCAATCTTTGTCTCCCTCTTTCTCATCTACTCCCAACAACCACCCAAAACCCTAAGTAGCCAGCAGTACCCACCTGCCTCCATGACACTGACGAAAACCCATTAGTGTGGCCGACGTCACTCACCTGCCCCCATGATGCTACCCACCTGCCTCCAGCAGTATGGGCGGCGAAAACGATGAAAACTGTAACATTCGGGATTTATAAGGTACTAATCTTTTTATTTATATAAGGTTAATAGTTTTATAAGGTTTGGGCTCGGACCTTTGAGCCCTTGTAATTGGGCTGAGGAAGCGCCGTACGTGGAGCGTACCTTGCCATGTACGTTTAGCATACTCAAGAGACTAGAATGCGGAAGCCATGCAGGTACGCCCAGCGTACGATGAGTATGCACAACATACGTATGCAGGTTCTAAAACCCTAAATTTTAAGGTTTGATCCCTATATAAAGGACATTATGCTTTTGGTCCAGCCTCCCTCTCACCCTTAGCCAGCCACCACGAAAACCCTAACTCATATTTGTGTGTTCATGTGATTTGGAAGCCACTTGAGAGCATTTTAGTGTTGTTTTGGTGTTTAGAAGAGAAAGGAGTTTGAAGAAGGAGAAAGGATTCAAAGGGAGCTTGTAGATCCAGAAGATAAGCACCATTTCTGACTCATTTGAGGTATCAAGCTTCAAACTTGATAATTGCAAGTTTAGATTTGATTTTAGGGTGTTTTAGATCACTTTTGGACTCCATTGTTGAGGTTGTTTGAGTATTGATAGTTTCAGAGCATAAGAGCTGTCCTTTTGGGCTCTTAGAAGCACTTAGAGTAATAAAAATCGGATCTTGATGGTTATGCCACAACCATGCAAGTGTTTGAAGGTCACAAAGTTGGGTTAAGGACCAAAAATCATGTTTTGACCCCAACCATGCATGCAATCACATAAAGTTTGTGACTTTATGGACTAGGATGCTTTAAAGGACCTGGATCTACATTCTAGACGGGAGGACTTAATGGGTTAAGTCACAAATGAAGCCCCAAGAAAGCTGGCCGGTACGCCGTGCGTACACCCTGGTACGCTACGCGTACTCGGTCAACTTCCCGTTTTCGTCAAGGCCAGCATACGTTGGGCATACGTACCAGGTACGCCGCGCGTACGCATGTAGATTAGTGAACTAGGGCTTTTGGGCCTTAGAAGTCTGGGCCTGGATAGTTGGGCCCCATGGCCCACTGTGGAGCAGGGTTTCTGGGCCTAGAACTGAGACATAGAGTATTGGGCCTTTTGGGCCATATTGGGCCACTCGAGATTATTTATTTTGGGCTAAGGATTTATTGGGCTTGTGAAAAGGCCCATTTGAA